CTAACACATATTGCGATCGCCTCCATGTTCTTTTCTTCTCTTTGTGACTATTGTCTCTGAAGTCCTGTGGCCTTGATAGTTCCTTGATACTTTCAAACAGGTGTGTGCACATGCCTTCATGTGTTTGTGTGTCCAACTCTTGTAGTTGTCAATGGGAGGATAGATATTCAGTAAGTTACTCTGTTATTACTGGAAATGTAAAACCCTCTGTTTGCTTTTAAAAGAATCTTCAGGCTTATGAGAATTTTAAAATAGCCTATAACATTTTAACTGCCATTCTAATTAGACTCATGTGTTGCTTAACAAGGATATATTCTGGAACCATGGTGCTGGGCAATTTCAACACTGTGTGAATACTATAAATTATACTCACCCAGATTAAGATGGCTACAATGTCATTGGACGGTGCACTCTTATGGGACCTCCCTCATGCATGTGCTCGGCTGAGGGAAGCGTCATGCTGTGCATGACTGTGTTATGATCATAGAGATCATGGAAGTTATATCCTACTTTTGGAGATTTCTCTTTTCTAGGAGCGTCTGCAAGGACATCATAGGTAGAAGTGATGAGAGAGGTTACAGAATCACAGATGAGAGAGGGGACAGAAGGACCACATCTTTGGGGAGGAGAAAAAGGAGGTTTCTTTAAAAAACAGAAGTTTCCCCAAAGCAGTTATCTGGCTTAAAGCTAACTGTTTATTTTCTGCCTTTCTTGATTTTTGCACATTTAAAGTAAGGTAAGCTCTTTCTGTTTTCATTTCACTTGGCCACTGTTACTGCTGGTGACTGAAGATGAGAAACACCCTTTATTTTTTGGTGGAGAAAGTGGTGATGGGTGGGTTTCTATGTCACGTGGCTAGGCAGTGCGCACCACAGTATTCAGTCTAGCTCGCTGGGGGTTATAGAGTGAGGGGTAGAACCACCTTCTTATACACAAGAACCACGATATATACTTCCTTATACACAAGGAAGTGTATATCTTCCTTTGGCCATGTAGATGGGCCCCCCCTTTGTCTGTCCCACTGCTGTGTCCTGACTTAGGACCTCATTATCTTTCCCTGACCCCTTTAGCTGCCTCCTTTCCCAAATGCTACTCCTGTCAATCTACTTCCATCCTATAGCCTAGAGGGATCTTTCTAGAACACAGCCTCTAGTATCATTTTACCCCCCTCCCAGTTCTTCCTAGTCTTTAGAATGATATTTGTGTGACCTGCAAGGCTGCCTGGAACCAGATTTCTGTATGAGCCTCCTCTACCCTATTCGTGCCCAACAGCCTGACTTTCTTACCTCTGGGAATCATGTGCTGTCCATCAGACACCCTGTGTCCTCTGCCCACTGCTGCACCAGCTGGGCCTCCCACCTGCTGTCTGGATAGTATCCTTCTGACTTACATCTTAGCCCAGGGTAGTCTCCTTGGGAAGTCTATTGGCCCCATATGAATCAGATGTCCTTGCTTTGTATCCCTAGAGCCGCCTCCATGCTCGTGCACATTGTGCGGCACTGTCATTGCTTCTGTTTCCCCTGAGACTCATAATTGACTGACAGTCTTTCATGTATGCCCAACACATTGCCTGGCATAAAGTAAGCACCCAATAAATTTCAAATGCAGCATATGTTAAGTTCCCTGTAAAACCTCAGCTGCTGCCAACTCTGCTACCAGTCTGGGTGTTCTCTGTGAGGGATCCTTCTATTTTCAAAGCAGGAAACTCCTGTAGAATTTTAGCAGGAAAAGGTAGATTCTAGCCTTTAGTCAATAAGCGGGTTTTCAACTTTAGAAGTGTCAGTTTGTAGTGGTAACTTTTTTTAGCAGTAAAATTTTAGCAACTATGGTCTGTGCCAGAGCGCTAGGCTTCCCTCTTTTGCTGAGTTCCTCCGTTTAATTACTGTGCTGAGCAGAGGGAAGCTGTGCTTCCAGACACGAGAAGGAAACCACTAATGGTGCTGCTGCTTTCCCTCTGCTGCCCTGAAGAAGACAGCACAGAATGGGAAGGAGGGGCTGTCCTTTGGGGGTGTTGGCCTGTTTCTGATCACTTTGCCGTCCTCTGCCTCCACCCATGACTGTGGTTTGAGTTCCTGTCTGCCCCAAGCTACTGGGACGTGTAATAAGAAACTGCTTTCCAAACTCTTAATTAAAACAGGTTCACGTGCTCTTTGCCAGGAAACAGCATCCATACCCCTCAATGTGCAATTGCATTGCTTGTCCAGAATAAGATGTGACATGACTAAGGTTTCCCTCCTCAGTGGTCATGGTTTGCTGGCCACACATTTACAAATAGCCCTCCATTTCAGCCTCTTTCCTAGTTATTTGTCATTCATTCACCTGCATTCCCCTGTGTGAAACATTCCTCTCCCCCTTTGCTCTATATGCTCTTAGGTAAACAGGTAACATTTTAGGTTGATACCCAAACCTAAAGTGGTTGGAACAATTTTTTAAAATAGTATTTTATGGACAGCAAGGAAAATGTGACTGCTGATTCTAAGAATGTCTGGTTCCACTGCTCTACAAACTTTGAGGTGGAGGACAATTTATTTGAACTTCTCTATTTCAGTTTCTTTCTCCATAAAATGGGGCAATAATATACTAACCTGTGTGTTGTGAGGATTAAGTAAAACAATGTCTGTGAAGAAGAGCTTAGCCCAGTCCCTAAGCCACATCTAGCAGCCAAGAAGTGGTAAGTGGCTGCTGCCTCCTGCTTCCATTGTCCCCCCAAAGTAGCCATGTGGTAACTGACTTATTCTGACATGAAGGAGTTAAGTGCAAAACCTTGAGACAGCCCTAAAAAATGCAATTTCTCTGTAAGCATGTTAGAACTTCATTCATTCGCTCATTTGTACTTCTCCATACTACCAACAGTCTTTAAGTTCTAGTTAGCAGAATCAGTAGGCAAGGAGAATCTGGATCCCAGGCATATGCCTTGCTTCTGGAAAGAACAGGGGTCCTAAATGTTTTTTTGTTAAAGTCTGGAGTTCCAGAACATTTCTGAAAGTAGTATGTCCAAAGCCGCCTCCGTCACTTTCCTCAGGAGGTCCCATATTTTACGTATGCAAAATAATTGAACCTACTTCTAAGTGAATGTTTGGCTGAACACACTTATACATTATCTACAAGTCACTCAGGTGCCCACCTATGAAGCCATCTGTGCCACTTTGCCTCATTCCTCTTATCCTGCAGGTTGGCAGCGACAGTGTGGCCACATCTGCCTCCTGTTCCATGTCCTCTGGCTCTGCCCTCCCATTTCCTGTCCTAGACTGCTGCTGGAGAGTTTGACCTGCCCTCTGGTGTCTCTGAGTGTGTTCTACTTAGCACATGCTCTAAGGAAATATAGGGTTCTGTGGCCCAATAATTTGGGGCCACACCCCACTCTTAGAGGTAATTGCAGTAAAAACAGCAATAACAAGACAGAATAAAATCCTTTTTAACTCTGTTTAACTTGCTGTCTTCTCAACTTATTTAACTGCAGGCTTTTCTTTTTACCCTAGTTGCAGGGAACTGAGGTTTCTAAAACCCCTCTTAGAGAATGCTGCTGCAGTTTGTGGATAAGCTGCTTCCTATTTGCTTGTTTAAGTTAGCTGAGCCCAAACATTGGTCAATAAGCACATCACTATGATAATGCACTGTGTGCCATTTCAAGAGATGGTGCAGACATAGCTCATCTCCAGGACATGTGCTGAGTGAAGAAGGGCATGTAGGCTGAGCCCTTGCTTACCTGTGTGTGTATATGCTGGACAAAAACCCAGTTCCCCAAAAGTGGCAGGAGGGTCTGCCTGTGGGGAGGGGGTCTGGATGTCTGGGAGAGGTAGAAGCAAATTCTTCTTTGTGTCTCCTAGGGCACAAAGAACTTTCTACTGCTTTGAACAAAATACTACACTGCTCCTATCACTTCCTGAATTCACACAGTGAATAGCCTGAACTCCAAGGCTCTGTACTCATGGCCCAGACCTTGTCCTCTGCTGCTCCACCCCTCAGCCTGTTTCCCAGCAAGGCCACTCCCACTTTCTGGTGCCCCCTCCCCCCACCTCACTCCATGACAGATACAGGGCCGTTAATCACTGGTGCTGCTTTCCTTTGCCACCTCTCAGACAGCAGCCCACCCCCAGAGAGCACACTGGCCCGGGGTGTGGGACTCCCTCTCAGCTTTACTCTTGCCTCTGATTCTCAGCTGTGGGATCTTGGGACCCCCAGTCCCGTGAAGGCAGTGACACTGTGTGGGAAGGCCAGGGTTAAAGATGAGACTTGAAATCTTTACTGACCCTGTGTCCTGGGAAGCTTAGTCTTGTAGCTTTCCTTTCCTTTTCTGTGCAGTGGAGGATAATACACTTTAACTCACAGGGCTTGGGCATGTTGCTCATCTTCCTAGAACACCTGACATGGGCCAGGCATCTTGTAAGTATTCAGGGCATGTGTGCTGTCTTCTCTTCCCTTCCACTCTTTTCCCACTGTGACTACCAGCCTGCCATTCCCTTGGGTCCAGAAGTCCTTGAGTTTCAGAGGAAAGAACACAAAGCCTGAAGTCAAACTTTCATTCCTGGCTGTATGGGTGATTAACCCTGGGGAGATGTTGAGCCTCCAGTGTTTTGAGGACCCCAGCTCTAACACAAAATCTATAATCTCTACATACAAGAGCTTTGATCATCAAACCACCATGAATGCAAAGGGTTATTAGTAGTGAGTGCAAATTCTCTCCCACCCTCTAACTGCCTTCTAAGAACTTTTGGAAGATGAGGAAAATAATGTCTTCCATATGCTCAAGTGAAGATGATTTAGCACTATGGAAGGTAGAATAAAGAGGCCTCACCATTAGCAGAATGACCCTGAGACGAGATGATAATGGCCCTGAGCCTCACTTACCTCATCCAAAATATGAAAGCAGCAAAGCCGCACCCTACAAACTAGTTGTGAGGCTTACAAGAGGCAAGTCATGTGGAAGACCTTTGTAAGTTGTGAAACTCTTCACAACTGTCAGCTGCATCCGTAGTTAACTTGCCTGTTTATTGTTACAGCGGAGAGTGCAGGACGTCATCAGCCCTATCGTGTTTGAAGCTGCCTACAGCCTTGGAACACATGTGACTGGGGAGGAGGAGAGGGAGCTGCCAGCTCTGACACCAGTTCTACGCTGGAAAAAGGGACAAAAGATCGCCCAAAAGAATCAGGTGAGAACCTAAAAGCTATCACCTGGGGTTCAAGGTGGCAGGTACACGTGGCAGAAGTAATGACCCAGAGTAATGGCCAGGGCTCACCCCATCCCTTTCCTGATCTACAAAATGAAGAAAGCAGTAATTTCATTTTCTGTTAACTCCCTACACAGGGCTATTCTCAGGCCAGTAGGGATACGAGAAGAAAATTATAATTCCTTTGAGGTCATGAACTGGTCTTCAAACTTCTCTCTGTTCCTAAACTGTTCCAGAGCTTGGATTGGTGCACACTAGTTCTTCACTGACTCCCTATTGGTGGGGGAGTGATTGAAGTCAAGAATGAAAAACTGCAGCTTACTGAGTTTGTGGCTGAGTTCCAAGTGTCCTTGGAAGCCAGACCGCTCAGGCAGGTGCAGGTGGGAGCCCATCCCGCTCCACATTCCGCATATTCTGGGATGAGTTGCCATGTAGGAGCTTTGGAATGATGTTGGGTGCAGGGCATGTAAGGTAGGAGTGAGTATATGGACTGATACTGTGCTGCAGCAGTGCCAGCTTGTCTGCCCTGAGCCATCTATGAGATGTGCAGTGCTTAGATCAGGAAACACTGCTTTTTGGTTTTATAGACTTTGGCAAGGTATAGGCAAAGCTGTGGAAGCACCTGCTGGTCTGACCCCCATGGTTCTTCAGCCTGCTGTGAACAGAGAGAAAAACTAGCAAATCAGTGACCTGCAGATGAGAACATCGATGTAAATAGAGCCACAGGGAAGGGTTTGGGATTAGAAATGTCCATTCAGGTGTTTAATTAGGTAGTGAGGTTTTTTAGCAGGGCACCTCTGTTTTCACCCAGTGTGTCCTCCATATTGCCTGTCTTGGTTACTTTTCTCTCCTTGCTGAGACAAAATACCTGCGCCTAGAATTAAGGAAGGAAAGGTTTATTTAGCTCACGGTTTGTGGAGGTTTCAGTCCATACTCAAATGGCTTCAAGGTAGGGTGGCATGGCACAGGGGCAACACTTCAGGGTGGCAGAAGACAGGAAAAGCAACAAGAGCAAAAGTGGGTGTGGGGAGCAAGCTTCTTCTCCTCCCTTATGCTGTATGCAGCTTACCCACCCCCACCATCTCAGTGCCTTCCTCTTGCACAGGCTGAGGGTGTTTACAAAGTAAAGACCCTGGCCCCCTGCTGAGTCACTTAGTTAGCCTTCTAAACTTCTCAAGTCCACACAATGTATAACCATGACACTGCCTTTGCTTGGGCTTCCTAGAAATAAAGCCTGAGATGAGGATTTGGGAGCATACAGACTCATGAGGCCATGCTCTGAGGGAAACCTGTAAAGGAAGGGTAAGGGGCTGGACAAGGATGTGGTCTCAGCTAAGGTCCAGATGGGGGACACTGGAACATAAATGACAGCAGGCTTGTCCTTACCTCGAGGCATGGAGGCTGGTCTCTGTATCCCCATACTGGCCCACTGTTAGCTGGCCATGGGTGAGGAAGGGGAGGGTGTGCAGCACTCCTTGAGTGGAGGTTCCTTCAGCTGAGGACAGTTCTCTGGGGGAGGATGCAGACGGGCCTGCCTGCACGCACACTGGCTGGGGAAAGGCTGGCAGTTGTCAGTACCCATTGCACTTGTAGCCACAGTCTAAAGATACTGCATTTGTGATGTGGCTTTTGATTTAAATATGAGCTTTTATTCTTAAGGAACTTAATTTTATTTTTATTATATTTTTATTAGTACATAATGACTACATTCATCATAAGGGGTTGGTACATGCACAGGAAATATCTTAATTTTTTTTACACCCATTTCCTCCTCCTCTTGGTCCCCTTTCAAAGCACAAAGCAGTCCCCCTGGGAAGGTGCTCTGCAAGCCCTTTGGGTCCCTGATAAGTTGGGGCAGGCTCAGGTGGAATGAGGAAAGAGGTGAGAGGACACAGGCTGTCTGGCTGAGTCGGACAGAGTGGAGGGCCCAGCCTTGGGATGAGGTATGAAGAAAGCCACAAAGAGGAGAGCAAAAGGATACGCTGATTTCTGTGTTGATAATTAGAAATTGGTGTCCTGTGCTGACAGTGAAATGGGAAGAAGAGGTCAGGCTGGGGAGCCAGTAAAGCACAGTATTATGACAGCTGCTAAATAATGAATCCTGGGTCCTGGTATTACTCTGCTTTCTAAGGAAAAATCTCACTGGCCTGGTAAGCATAGCGCGCCTGTGTTGTGGAAGTGCTACAGTGACTCACTTCAGAGTCCTCTGTGCTTGTTGTATTTCTGAACTGACCCAGTGAGGTCGGTCCCACCCTGTAAGCATCTTGCTAGCTCCGTGTGTATTTCCCACAGTGAACCTGGCTCTCACTTTTAGATCAAATGACCTGACGGGAGCCAGGGATGCAGGAACACATTAGTATTAAAATGCTGTTCTTGGTCACTTTAGGCTTGAGATGGCTGACCAAGCACGAATGTTTGTGTCTATGCCTTCTGAGACCCCCATTGCAAAGATTGTAAAGGAATAGTTTGGAAAGGGGAGAACTATAGGGAAGAGGCAACAGCTAATCAGAGAGCCTGGTGACTTTCTAGAGTGTGTGAAGAAGAGGGAAGGGTGCTAACCGTGAATTTAAACTATATATGTATAGAGGACCTGGCTTCCTATCTGCTTGTGGAATGAGAGAAACTGCAACCTGAGCCAGGCCAGCAGTTACAGGAGACAGCAAGGATGAGAAGCAGGGATTGAAACATGGAGGAAGGAGAGTATTAAGAGTACTAAGAGTATAATGTGTGGAGGAGATGTCCTTCCACTGTTCCCACCTCTGCCTGTTGCAGGTATGCAGATTTACCAGCAGCCCAGACAGGCAGTTGAGTAATTTGTTTTCTAAAGGGTTGAATGAACTGTATCAGATAGTGTGGCTGAGCTGGTTCCCTAGAGAAAAGCCTAGTCTGGCATTTGAAGTTTCTATCACAAGACGTTGGTTTCCCTCTTCCATCCACCCAAACTCATCCATAGACTTTTCAATGTGTAGTTTTCCATGTCCCTAAATATGAACAGATAACCAAGGGAAATGGAGAGCAGAGGAAATGTGACACATGGAAAGAAAGATTAGTATAAATCTACATGAGTAGAATAACTGAAGGAAACAAATTATTCAGGGACTAAAATAGATTATAAATTTTGTAAAGGGAAATGTTTAAAGTCCATGCAAGAAATATGAGGAGATTGAAGAATATATTTCATTTATTAGTGCATGCATGGAATTCTACTTTATGGAATAATCAGAGAAAAAGGGAGAGAATCCTGAAAATCAGAAATATGATTACAGAGCCAAATTTTCAGTGGAAGGATAGAAGATAATGTGAAGAAATCTCCCTCTAGAAGAGCTAAAAGACAAGTAGAAAAAAAAGGAAAGCTAAAGGATAATGTACAAGGTTCTATATCCAAGTAAAGAAAACACAAGAAAAAGGAAAAAGACAAAATGAAAGAGAAGAAATGAGAGGTAATAGATAAATTCTCCACAATTAATGAGATACTGTTTTGTTTATTTAAAATGCCTACTAATGAACAAGCAGGATAAACCCAAATCATATATACATGATTTTGAATTGTTACAGCTTCCAAGACTGAAGGAAACTTCTAAACATTTCCAGGGCAGGAAGTGCAGGATGGTGATAGTGGGGGAAATATGTCAACTTACAACAGAAAAAGAGTTGGACTGACTATTGGACTCTTCATGAGCAAGATTAGAAACTAAACTTTGATGAGCTAAGGGCATCAGAGTTCCAAGGGAAAGTGATTTTGAAACTAGAATTTTATTTTTAACCTATCAATCAAATGCAAGGTAAAACTTAAATCACTTTTCAGACAAGCAAGGACCTGGAATGTTTGCCTCCCTAGGAATCCTTCCAGGGACATTACCTGAGATGCACTCCAACAAAACAATGGTGACAGCTAGAAGGACCAAGGCATGGAATCCAAGAAACTGTGCCACCAAGTCCCAGAAATGTAATGAGAGGAAATGCGAGGATCACTGTGATCGCTGTGTGATCACTGCCAGTCTAAAAAATTTGTCCAGTGTAGAACAGAGTATTAATGAACTTGCAGGAGAATGAAGCCAAGCAATAGAGAGAATGATGAGTAAGTGGCAAATATTCATAATACAGTGTATTTTGAGTATTCGTAGTCTATGGATAAGAAAAAAAATAAAGGCAGCCAAAATTTCTGAAATCACAAGTTTGAGGCCAGCCTGGGGAACTTAGAGAGTCTCTGTCTGAAAATTGAA